TATGCCATTCCACATCTATATGACTTTCTTTCACAAAAAATAAGTAATGTCCCAAATGTCCAAGCTGCTCTCTTATATATAACAAAAGTGAATGGTGACCACAGATGTCACTGTTTGGAAAATAAGCTCCAAACTGGGACACAAGAAAGTCCCATTGCAAAAAATGGATTTGCAATGACATAAGAGTACTCGCACATGTTAAAACAATTTAGATTTTGGGGTAATTTGAATTGTAAAAAAAAAAATGCAGCTTACCCTTCCATCTGGAGTAACAGGGCCAGAATAAGGTGGCTGCTCTCCCATCAACACAGGCCAAATATCAAAGAACTCCTGCAAGAGAATAAAACCACCGGGCCAGTCTTAGAAAGAGACAGGAGAGCATCTAAATCAAGCATGAAGTCTCTGTTGCTTTCAGCAATTATAGTGATTGACATACCTTATCCTTGGTCATGTCCAGTAGGCCCACAGAGTACCTGTCACAGTTGAGATAGGCTCGTACGGTGTACAAAGCTTTGTGAAACTGTCGTTCAATGTCTGTGAGCTCTTCAAAGACCTTGTTAGCTGACCACAACAGCAGCTATGCATGAGATATATGAAAAACGCATTTATTTATATATTGTTCAATTCAGGTTTTACAATTTCATCACCTATAGCTAGTTTTTGCAAGCTTATGCAGACTGACCTGTCCTTTTCGTGTTTCACAGTTATGAAGGTAGCTCAGATGAAAAATCTTCAGGTTCAGAGAGCCAACTTTCAGATACTTTAAAAAAAGCTTTTGGAAAAAGAGATTTAGAAAAAAGTAAGTAACTCAATGCCAAGTATGCTTTACTGTCTCAGTATATGCAAGTATGTCTTTACTCTCTCATTTTATAAAATAAGTAACTCTTAATTTTGTAACTCATTAAGGCATTATTGCCAATTAAAATGTGGTAAATACTTGTCTTCATTTTGTTTACTCATTTAAAATGTGCTATTTTAAACTGTGTCCAAATTCTTTTTGAGTCCACTATAGACTGTATTAATATTAGTGGTGGACACAAACAGCAGACAGACTTACATCCTCATCTTCATCTGTGAAATGGGGACCAGTAGTCTTGTTGACAGCCATAATGACGGCTACTATGTCTTTGCCATTCATGATGGGTGCAGCCAGGATGTTGCGTGTGGTGTATTCAGTAAGTTCATCAACGAATGAGCTGAAGTGACTATCCTACAGTGAAAGCAAGGTCAGTTTTGTCATGCACATTACACACTGTCCCTGCACATTTATACTAACTTGCACATTTATCTGACATTATTGCTAATGGATTAATTAGATATTAGAATGGATATTAGAAAGTAGATGAAAATATTTTTTAGTAACACTTAACAATAAGGCCCCATTAGTTATTGTTAGGCTGATGATACATGGGGCAACTTTTTGAGCAATGTTGCCATGCAACTCTGGGCAATTTTGCCATCTACGGGCAACCAGGTGAGACACAGGGCCCACGACCGATCTAAAGTA